TAGTATCCTAACAATAACATTTCTGGCACAACGCTACAACAATTTATCTACCAATGAAGTCCTAAAACTCTACACTCATAAAAGATAATTTAGAAATTCTATTGTGAAATGCTTTTTTTCAACTAGACATACAGAAAAAGGTCAAAAGTTCACAGAACAGTTACACATCAAGAGATAACTGAGGTGTGTATGAAATCAAGTAGTGGTTGAATCGATTTCTATATATAAAATCGATCGGAAGGATTGTAACAAGCTGGGATCTAATACAGGTAAGTCAGAATTTTTAATCAGTTGGTGTATTTCCTCACCTTAAAATTCTGTAATATTCCAAATGATGTGCACTACAGTGATGCACGGTAGAAGGAGAATAAATACATCAAAATGTAATAAGCATGCTTTTACTGTCAGGGTACATATATATATATATATGCATGAATTGGTGGTTCCTTTCGCTAACTTACACCATCTCTGGCGTAGGCGTGACATTCGGCTATCAACCAAGGGTAGGTGGCACAGCGGCAGATTGCTTGCCGACGAGGAATGTGGTTCGGGGTTCGGTCCCCGAGAGACGCACCCTTTTTTGTGCGTCGGTGGCACAGCGGTTAGGAATCTCGCCGATCACACACATGGTTCGGAGTTCGATCCCCTACCAACGCACACCTGATATCTATGGTCTGCCTGCAAACTTGGGCTACCGATATCACATGCTGAAAATTCCATACCTGTACCAAAAATACAGTGTGGAATAAAGCTGTAATCAAAAAAAGGGACGTATGTAATGCTCAGCAGTTCGCTCCGTCCTTCTCTATGGCTCTGAAACACGACCAATACGAGTGGAAGACATGAAAAGGTTGACTGTTTTTGATCATAGATGTCTACGATCTCTTTCTCACGTTAGGTGGTATAATAAGGTGAGTAATGTCGACGTTAGCCGTAGTGTTGGGCAAAGAGGGAAAATCAATCGAAGAGGCTGTAAAGTTACATAGATTGAGATGGCTAGGTCACGTGCTGCGCATGCCTGGCCATCGCCTCTCCCGACGGCCATTACTAGCTGATATGGGTGCAGGTTGGAAAAGAGTAAGAGGTGGTCAGATAATCCTTGAAATCCTTAACAGTTAAACTGATTCAGATAAGGAGATGCAGACTTCCAGGTTGGGGCCCGCCCTCGGGACTCTAAGAATCAATGGCTGGAGACAGACAATAGGTGACATGGCTCAAAATCGTTGTCAATGGCTTACGCAGATGTATTCAGTCTCTTTAACCTTCATATTCCTTTCTACCATTACTCATTCTGTTTCACTCTTATACTTGTCAAAACTCTATTGATTGTCTTCAGTCATCTTCTTGTCTACCTTTGTGTGGTATTTGGAAGGTGGCACTTCGGTGTCAAGTTCTACGCTGAATCCAGACAGATTGGTGGTTCAGTAGTAGAATACTCGTCAACTACTTACGTGGTCAGGGTTCAATCCCCAGGCCTGGTGCACTCCTGAATCTCGCTTAGCTGGTAAACAGGAGTAGCTGGCATTGAGGCTAGCAACCCCATCCCATGAAAAAAATAAACACCGCCACTAATGAGACTCCAAAGCTCAAACTTGAAGCCAAACTATGTTCTACTGGGGACTCAAAGGGACTCTGAAACTTTGACCATATCTTATCATAAACAAGTTTACAGCTGTCAAGTTACCAAGCAGCTAAGATACTCATCAAGAGATTAGAAGCAATCAATAAATTCTGAACTTGGAATTTGTGTTAGCTGACAGTGTCGGCTAACAGCTGTGTCATGTATACAAACGATAACTTTCCTGATTACATCTTTTGAAAAACTGTCTTACAACAAATAAGACGATAAATCCTATAATCATATACGTCAGTTTATTTGAACAATTCTCCACGAAAGTAATATGTATGCTCAACTCTATATACTAAGAATGCGAGTTTACCACAGTCTTATACGAAATTCTAACGGTAAGAATCCTGAAATTCTCTTCAGGATTTTGGCATTCTTTGAATGCGCAAAAAGTATTGCTAACGATCGCCTCTATTGCATATAATTCCACACTATTAAGAACAGCGATTGGCCGGTCGGTTTTCGGCATAAAACTTTGTACATATGTGCGGCAGTTCAAGTCGCCACACTCCCTCCTTGTAGCACACAAAGTAAGAGAAGAAAGTAGGAGAAATGCATAATATAGACAGCAAACAGAAGTGTGAGACAAAGGAATAGTAATAACGGAGAACAAAACAGTTTCATTGGAAATCATAAGTCACAAGGAGTGGATGAATCTGCACCAGCCATTCAGAACGATTTTGAGCCATGTCACCAATTGTTTCCAACCATTGGTGTTTACCGTCCGGAGGACCCCAACCAGGAAGGCAGTCTTCACCTTCCTACATAGCTTACACTAACTGTTGTAGATTTCATTGACTGGTCCCATGTTTTCGTTTGACCGCCACTAGCTCTTTTCCAGCCTGACCCTATATCAGCTAACGTTGCCCATCAGTCGAGGAAGGCGATGATTAGGCATACGTAACACATATCCTAACCATCTCAGTCGATGTAATTTCACAGTCTCGTCTATTGATTTCCCCGCCTTACCTAGCACTCGACCGATGCCTAACCTCAATATTGCTCACCTTATTATACCACTTCACGCGGGAGATAGAGCGCAGACACCTATTATCGAAGACAGCTAATCTTTTCAGGTCTTCCGCTCACAATCATAAAGGAGGACGAAGCGGACTGTTGAGCAGTACACACGCCCTTTGGTCGATAGTCGGATGTCCCGTCTACTCCAGAGACGGCGTAAACTGGCAGATGCGAAACAAGCCCTCTGTATTTGTGCTGAGATTTCGTCGGAGATCAACCCGTTGGGGCTGGTGATACTTCCCAAGTAAGTGAAGCGGTCAACGTACTCTACCACTTCACTTCCTATTTCTAATCTAGGAGTCGGTGAAGTCAAATCTTGCAGCATCATCTTACATTTTACAGGGGCGAATCACACGCCAAACATACGAAGATTGTTGCTCCAATTGGCAATTGGAGTAATATGGTTTGTCAAAAACCTGTTATTGAATAGTTTGTGCACTAACGTTTTTTCCTTTAGGATCTCAAGTTTAAATCCGGCTCTGCCTACTTTAGTCTAAATAACACCAACATGCCCTATGTTCCACTAGGAACCCAAGGGAACAATAATAATATAGAGGCATCAGTTATGCTTCACAGCCTGGTGCATGAAAAATCTGTTCCACGAGAGGTTCACTTCCCAACTAACCAATGATTGATTCATCACTTTAATCGCCCCACCCCTTCGTTCCCGACAAAAACAAGGACTGAAATCAGTAATGTGATTACAATACCGTTTCTACAGTCAGGCATTGAGAATGTGCCTGGTAAACTTCTTAATTTATGAGGAACTCAGTAGTAAAGACAACTAATCAATATGCAAAGTGAAAATTCTAGTAGCCCAAATGACATGTGATTAAATATTCAGTCAAAATGAAAATGTATTAGTATTGGAAAACGTCCATTCCCCCCGATACACACACACACACAGCATATTAATGAGCACGTTAGCAGTAACTCAAGGAACAAACAGAGAAGCGGTTATAATAACAATCATTCTACTTTACAGGACTCTTCACCGGATGCAATACTACTTGGAGGTATTACGATAACTATTGGAATATGTGAAACCAAGTACACTAAGAACAAACGTCATAAAAAAGCCAGATAAGCTAAGTCAGCTGGAGCTAGTGACACCCCACCCAACCCCCGCAGTTACCCAGGCTGGAGTGGAAAACGCACTAACTGGAATTCCAATAGCTTAAGCCGATGAACCACATCTCTCAAATAGATAAGGAAGATGAGTCAATTGATGAGATTACGAAGTTACATTGACTGAGTCGGCTAAGATATGTGCTGCACATGCCGAGCCATCGTCTTCCTCGAACCAGGACATGTCATCAGTCCATGAAATCTATGACTAGTTATTTGGGTCAGACACGTAAGGAGGTGTAGACTGCTTGGATAGTTAGGATCCTCGGAATGTTAGTGGCGTGGCTCAAAATCGTTCTCAACGACAGAGATTTACTCACTATTCATAATCTGCTAGATCTGTGAAAACCTTCTGTCTTCCCATGTTACTATCCTCTCTTTCTCCCACACACACTTCTATACTTATTGTAGTTCTTATGAACCTCTTTTCCTTCTGTGGAAAGTTCTATGCTGAAACTCTGCCTGCCTGTCTGTTTTCAACATAGAACTTTGCACAGAAAAGCAGCAGTTCAAGGAGCCACACTCCATGTAGCACACAAAGCAAGAGAAGAAAGTAGAAATGCTAAATAGAGACAGTAAACAGGGATATGAGGTAAAAAGAATAGTAATAACGAAGAACAATATAGTTTCATTGGAAATGAGAAGTCACAAGGAATGGATGCATCTGCGACAGCCATTGAGAACGATGATTTTGAGTTAGCCATATCATCAGTCATCTCCAGCCATTGGTTTTCATCGTCACAAGGACCCTAATCAATCAAAAAGTCTACACCTTCCTATGTGACTGGATGACTTAAACTAACTGTTGTGGATTTCATAAGACTGATGAAGCCATGTTTTGGTTTGACCACCCACTAACTAGCTCTTTTCCAACCTGATCCATCCTATGTCAGCTAACATTGCCCGTCAAGGAAGGCGATGGCTAAAAGTGGATGCATAACAACACATGTCCTAACCATCTCACTCCATCGATGTAACTGCTTCACAGCCTCGTCGATTGATTTCCCCATGCTAAAACCCAGTCTAGATAACCATCACCAACGTAGGTATCTATCACCTGAAATATCAATCACCACAATATATATATATATATATGTATACATATATATCATCATGGCGAATACAACTCGCTAACCACCTCATAATATTAATCAAACACACTCATCACTCTACAAAATGATACACGCAAACAAATTCTTCAGAAAAAAGAAAAACAAAGAAAGATCACAGCAATTACATAACCATATAATTTGTTATGAGCAATGAATTAATAAGCAGTGTATGTGTGCATGTGTGTATGTAAAAGTATGAGAGATAGCCAACAAAATGGAACCATTGAAAACTTAATAACTGATGCACGTATGAATAATAATAATAATAATAACAAGAGATGTTGTACTGATAATAGTAATAGTTATAGAGTAGTCTCACATTTTAAAAATGCCTTTTTTAAAACTAATACAAGATAGATGCACAGTATAGAGCACGATAAAATGAGACTATTTTATGCATATCCTCTAAGTGAGTGACGGATGACGACAAAGGACAATCAACTATAATAATTGTGAATACTCATGTTTGTATAAAGAAGAAATTATACAATACACACATAAGACAAACAGACAGACTAGAGACAAGAATTAATTAAAACTTCAAAAATATAATATAATATATGTATGTACATATGCTTTTATATAACAAGTATATAAGTAGTAAGTCAGATTATATAAAAACACATTAAATGGGAGGAAGGGAGCGGGCGAGCGGGCGAAACCAACAAGCGAAATAATATTTCTCTATAAGCATGTATGTGTATATATTGTATATTGTATACTCGTATTCATTATTCCACAATGTCATACATACTAACACTAGTGAATCACTCTGGGAATACAGCTGTTGCTTGACACATGTTGCATAGAGTTTTGCACGATAACACAGGCAATTTTGTTTTGGGGGCAGGAGAAGGGGGAAGGGATTAAAGCATAGAAAGGGCACAGAGTACCGTATTACTAGTATTATTGTTGTTGTTATCATGTCATACATGGGCTTTTATTGTTCCTGGTGGTGGTGTTGGTGTTTCTCATCTAAATAATAATAGAGAAATGAATAAATGAGATCGATCCAAATGCGTAGAAGAAGAATAAGAAAAAAGAAATGAAGAAATATCATCATCTATCAACAAGTTCGATAAAAAACAACCGCTTGGATCTTTCTTTCTTCGGGAGTAGTTCGCACTTTCACTCCGACCCTTTTTTTTCATCTTTTCTCGGATAATATAATATTTACTTCACTCTTTTTTTAAGGGAAAATTTTTATGTACACGTCTAAGAGAATTTCTGATCGGATAGATGATTGAGTTGGCTGGCTGGTTGGCTAGATGGAGTATCGTCTCTGATCTCAAAAAAAAAGAGAAAAAACGAACAAACAAAAACACGCAAAAAAGAAAACAATTAAAACAAAATCAGGGGAAATTATTTTTTACAATAGGGACAGTAATAAGTTTCAACATTGGCTTCACTTGGTTTCAATCCAAGACAGACTTGATGATACCATAGGGCACAACGATCGCATTGAATCCAATCAATGGCTATATCTTGGGGTTGTTTACACGGTCGAGCAGAACACTCTTCACTGTCATAATGGAACATATCACCACCGGCAGCAGCAGCAGTATCATCTTCAGCGTCATAACCACCACCCGATTTGCTTGACTTGCCTGAACGACGCTTCTCCTTACTACTATGCATATGACCAGGTTTAGTTGTACTGGATGATGATTTACGTGAAACAGAATTTGAATGTGATTTTTTCACTTTCTCTGTACCATTGGAACGTTTTTTCATTGATTTAGAACTAGCTGCTGAACTTAACCGTTTTGAAGTGGAATTGTCATCGTCGTCATTACTGTCAATATCATCTTCTTCATCGACTTTAAGACGATTTGAAGTGGCAGGTTTTTTGAATTTTTGACGATTAGCATTACGTGATGCAGCACCAGAACCAGCACCGCCGCCACCACCACCACCTCCTGAGGCTGCATTACTTCTAGGTCGTTTCGCATCGACTGATTCATCATCACTTGATCCAATTGAGTCATCTTCACCATCTGATCTTTGTGTAGAAGAGACTGTTGAACCAGGTTGTGCTGGATAGGATTTGCGTTTTTTAGTTGTTCCTGCTGTAACACTTTCTTTAGCTGGTGAATCACTTAGTTCTACCTGTCAAACAAGAATAGAGAATACAGAGATAGAAAATGTACTGGTAGATATTTAAACAATAGTGATGCGTGAGTCAAAACTCTGCAAGAACTAGAGACTAAAGAACTAGATGCATACTCTGGGGCATGAAAATGTATGAATTAGGGGTAAAAAGTGAACGTATTGTGAACGTTAAGACGGTACATACTAAAGTGAGCGCGACGGAAACGCGCCTATAACTTACATATATATTATCCAATCGAATATCTAAACTATTACATCGCAGCTCCAGAACAGTACAGATCAATAAGCAAGTGCTCAGTTTTCCGCTGCTTATTTTACACGTCAACTGGAATGTAAGAGTTTAACAACTTATCTTTGTAAAGATTTCCACAACATACATCTAGTAAAATCCTCCCCCAGCCCCTCCGGGAAACGCTGAACTTCTGCAGGAGGGATTCTGAGTTCCTCTTTCCTAGAGTTAACAGTTAAGTTACTAAGAAATGTCATCTGATTTTAATGTATGTGATATTAGTAAATCAATAACAGGTGTGCCACACAATTGGTATAGTGCATAGTCTGGTGTACATGAAATCCATTCTAGATAACTTAATTTTAACCAATGGTTATCGTATGCAAGGGAACCTCGATGTTTGCATCGTCTCATACACCTTAAAGTAAACTAGGAGGAAACAATTTTCCAGTACTCCCTAGTGGTTTTCCAATGGTTGTCTAACCGATGTCAACTTATGATGAAATCCTGTAACCAATCAATCAAAACCCTACGAACCAATACTTGAACATCAATGAGATGCTGACTAGCGACTGGCCCTATTCAGGTAGGTAGTTACCTGGGACTCTAGTAAGACGGCGTGACCAGTAGGGTGCACCAGGTCGGGTGTGAAGATAAGTATTCGCCGAAGACATTGCCTAGCGGTCACGCTATGTCGCGAATTGGCAGAAATTCGAATTCATGGGCCACTGGATCGGGTCCCAGTGGCTTTATGGTCTACGAGCTCTCCTTGTGACCAGGACGTCCTGGGTTCGAACACCAGTGGGTGGGTGCGTACTGACGAAGAGTCCCAAACCAAGACAAAACAGCTATCCAGTACTCCAAGGTTTCCCAATGGTTGTCTAACCTATGTCAGCTCATGATGAAATCCTGTAACCAATCAATCAAATCTCTACAAACCAATACTTGAATAAAAATTAACAGCCAGCTCTGATAAATTTGCTAGTTATAAGTCAACTTTGCAACCTATAAGATATGATTTTGTCAATAAATTTTATCCACTGAGATTGAATGAACTAATTCCTCTAAACAGTTTACAGTTATAACTCCATAAACACTTGTGTACAAATTCGTGTAATATTTAATGTGCTCATAATCATATCAACTTGATATGATTATGAGCAATAGTTTGTGCTCGAAACGTCATCAGTTAATATAACTGTACTACACTGTGTGATTTATCAAAATAAAATCTTATCCATTATGACCAGCCGATAGAATATATTAGCCTTGAAATTAAATAAATGCCTTAGGGATAACGCATCTGTGTATTACAAACTTCAAGTTAAATTACCAGCTTCAGTAAAGCAAGAATCCTAAGACATTCATGGTTCTGGTAGGTGACATCACAAAAAGTCATCACAAGTGAGCTATCACTAAAAAATGAATCCTACGTGAAGTCCAAGGACTGCCTAAGGTAGTCTCTACGTTCTGGAGTTTCTTTTTAATCCTTCACGTTCCCCGGTGGAACATAGGGCTTCAAGCTAGTGACGTGAAGTTTCTGTAGCAGTGTTTATTTTTACAGGATGGGGTTGCTAGCCTCATGCCCAACCTTTCCTCTTCACCAGCGTTATTTCTGGCTCAGCGAGGTAAAGGAGTGCGTCGGCCGGGGATCGAACCCCGAACCATGTGCATGGTCGGCGAGCGTCCTAACCGCTATACCACCGACGCACACAAGAGGAGGCGGTCTCCACGCGCGGACCGGGCTGTCACATGGCCACCATTCACAGGCGCTATCCCGCTACCGCACCACGCGGGGACTTTTGCCTGCTGGTTTTCCCCCTGGGCCAGTGCGCCCCTCCTTAGTCGACCTGGACAACCCGCCCTCCGACAGGTCATCCATATCGGCGCCATGCTTAGCGTGGACGCCCGATCAACATGAGCACCCATATGCCAGAACTCCCGGGCCCGCGAAATTCCGCACCCTGGCCTCCAAGTAGCTAGATTACAGGCGTACGCCGTCTCTGACCAAAAGTGAATTCATTTACTCACCTTAACACTCCTGACAGTATTTTAACAGAAAGTATATGTAACTCCGTGACAGCCCTTAAAAAATTTTATTATATATTCACATATACATTGTGAAACAGAGAACTGAAGACCAAGTGACGGCTAAACAAATGACACACTAGGATGCATTTCAAAATCATATAACAAAAGTATATAAAAAAGTCGACTTTTAAATACAACTCAAGCTGTTGTTGTAAAAGTTATCGTATGAAAATGTTAAAAAAAAACCTTTTAATTTCCCTTATCTAGTCAAAATTAAGTTATTCATCAGTTGTTTACTGAGACACCACTTCAAGTGGAATACAAAGAATTGACTAACCCAGTTTCAACACATAACTTTGCACAAAAGTGCACTAGGGTTAAGCTGTCACATTTCACGACGTAACACAAGGGTAGACAAAAGAAAGAAAAAGATAATCATCGAGAAGACCACAAAAAACAGATATGTGAAGGGGGAAAAATAATAACGTGCGACAAAAAAAAACATGGCGATTCAGGAGATATCGGAGATCACAAAGAGTGAACGCCATTGAAGACAATTTTTAGCCATATCATTAACACGACCAACCAGCCGTTTGGTTCTTAGCATCTCGAGACCCCCAACCAGCCAGTTCACACCTCCCTACATATACTTTGCCACCTAAAACCAAAGACAAAGACTTCATGAACTGATGCCAGCTTTATGGTATGACAACCCTTTAGTCTTTTCCAACCTCATCCTATGTCAGTTAACATTACTTGACGTGGAAGGCTGTGGCATGACATGCGTATCGCGTGTACTGTCTCCATAGTCTGATCGACTGTCATTCTTCTTACCTAAAACTCTGTGTTTAACCTCAGTATTGCTCATTATATTACACCTCTTAACACCCGAGACAGAACGCGAACATGTAGTTAAAGACAGATAGTCTTTTTATATCTTCGACTTTCAACTGCCATGTCTCACAGGCAAAAAGTTAAGAGTGGGCTGCTGTGCAGTGACGAGTTCTCTGACTGATAGCCAGATATCTCGTCTACACCAGAGATGATGTAAGTTGACGAGTGTCATTCTAAAGAAATATGTTTATTTCGTTTATAAAACCTACAAAAATGAGTTACCACACCTATGAATTAAAGAAAACAATAGTTCTGCACACAGTGAATTTTATACATATTTGACTTCACTTTTGGCAAGCAACATAATCCATATTTTGGTGTTAGCGTGATTAGCCAAATGCTGCGATAATTTCGCTCGTGAACAGAAAATCGACCGTAATGACACACAAAAACCATTCTTCATTTAGTGAAGATTGAAGAGTAATACATGTGAAACCTGTTTGAAAACAGATATCTGGAACAGACGTTGTAAGCTATGAGTCACACAATTATTACGTGGAGGCTAATAATAGTAACCATTTTCCCGGATTGAAGTAAGTGGATTCCGATTGAAACGCACTACGTATAGGCTGAAATCCAAGTGATTAGGACAATCAGTCATCTCCAATATCAGATGTTGAAACAAGAAAAGATTTTTCTTAATTCACTGGAAAAGTGGGACAACAGAGTGTGAATTAGTTTTGAATTACTAGCTTAACAATGCAGAAATATACACAATTCATCAGTTTTGGTTAATACTTTATGTCTCATACCATGAGACGACAATTCCATGGACTTTTGTCATGCCTTTGTCTGACCACGCATTACTCTTCTGAATTCAGTTAATATTGCTCCTAGAAGGTGACATAACGTGCGCAACTCATTCTGGGTAACCTACAACCTTATCGGCCCACCATTCTTATTTACAAAACATTTCCGTCTAAACTGGTTATTATTTATCACACTGTTTCACCTATCGTGAACCAGTGAACTCAGACGACTATAACAGAACCCTTGATAAGATGTTTCTATAGCTTCAATGGCTATATCCAATAACCTCATATTGCGACAATAGGAAATGTTGTACAGTACACAGGCCTTTTACTGGACAGATGGATATCATGCCGGTCATTGGGTTAATTACACGCAAGACTTGTGCCCGATCGAAATTTCTCATTAACTGCCTCAATATCCGTAAGTACAACTTTCTAAGCGAACTTTTCCACACTATCAATTATCTCACTTTTAATCTTTAAACTAAGAATCAGTGCACACCAGTCTACCATACTTTAGTGAAAACATACATGAGCATTTAGTGAAGATAACCGGTTTGATCGGTCGGTTTTCGACATAGAACTTTGCACATATGTGCACCAGTTCAAGTCGCCACAATCTATGTAGCACGCAAAACAAATGAAGAAAGTAGAAGAAATGCATAATATAGACAGTAAACAGAGGTGTGAGACAAAGGAATAGTAATAACGGAGAACAAAACAGTTTAATTGGAAATCATAAGTCACAAGGAGTGGATGCATCTGCGCCACTGAGAACGATTTTGAGCCATGTCACCAATTGTTTCCAACCATTGGTTTTTACCATCCCGAGGGCCCCAACCAGGAAGTCTACATCTTCCTACGTGGCTTAGATTAACAGTTGTGGATTTCATTGATTGGTGCCATGTTTTCGTTTGACCGCCGCTAGCTCTTTTCCAGCCTGGCCCTATATCAGCTAACATTGCCCGTCGAGGAAGGCGATGACTAGGCATACGTAACACATGTCCTAACCATCTCAGTCGATGTAATTTCACCGTTTCGTCGATTGATTTCCCCTCCTTACCTAGCACTCGACGCCTAACCTCAATATTGCTCACCTTATTATACCACTTCACACGGGAGATAGAACGCAGACACCTATGATCGAACACAGATAATCTTTTCATGTCTTCCTCTCTCAATGGCCAGGTCTCACAGCCATAAAGGAGGACGGAGCGGACTGTTGAGCAGTACACACGCCCTTTAGTCGATAGTCGAATATCGCGTCTACGCCAGAGACGGCGAAAACTGGCGAATGCGAACCTAGCCCTCTGTATTCGTGCTGAAATTTCGTCTGAGATCAGCCCGTTGGGGCTGATGGTACTTCCCAAGTAATTGAAGCGGTCAACGTGTTCTACCACTTCACTTCCTATTTCTAATCTAGGGGTCGATGAAGTCCAATCCTGCAGCATCATCTTACATTTTACAGGGGCGAATCGCATGCCAAACATACGGAGATTGTTGCTCAGGGTGTTCAGTAGACTCTGCATTTTGTCAGAGTCCTCGCCTAGAAGGACTATATCGTCGGCATATTCTAAGTCAACGAGATTATTCCCTGGTAGCAAGTCAATCCCTGAGTCGCTGAAGTGTGATAAGGTTAAGTCCATTAGTACGTCTATGATGAAATTGAATAGGAATGGGGATAATGGGCATCCTTGACGGACGCCACTAGTCGTCACCACTTCAGATGACAACTCGCCATAAGCCCTCACCTGGCTGCATGAGTACGAGTAGAGTGCCTTAATCAGTGCAATGTATTTTCTTGGCATTCCCTTTACAGCCAAGCATCGCCAGAGAACCTCCCGGTCGACAGAATCGAATGCCGCCTTTAGGTCAAGAAATATAATGATTGTCGGACGCCGGTAGGAATGCCTATGTTCTAGAATCTGTCGAAGGGTGAAGATGTGATCAATACACCCTCTACCTGGCCTAAAACCTGCCTGGTTTTCCCGTGTTTGTGTCTCCCGAGCGCCACTTAGTCTACGCAGTATTATTGAGCCTAGGATTTTAGATACTATATTAGTCAAGCTAATCCCTCTGTGATTATCACAAGACGACTTGTCCCCCTTCTTGTATATCGGGATGATCAGTGACTTACACCAACCCGATGGGACTTCCTCTGATTCCCAGACGCTGCCTAGGACCACCGTTAACGCAGACAGTAAACTGTCTCCTCCGTACTTAAATACCTCTGGAGTCAATAAATCAGGTCCCGCTGCTTTGCCTAGCTTCAGATTGGTGACAGCTTTAGTAACCTCAGTTAAGGACGGAGGACCTGTGTCTATCTCCCATTCAGGGAGGTGTTGGATGTCCGGCAGGTTAAGTGTGGCTGTGGGCCAATTAAACTGCTCCTCATAGTGTTCTTTCCAGCGCTCCAGACGTCTATCCTGGGAGCTAATTATGGTGCCATTTTTCTCGGAGATTGTTTCGCTTATCATTTGCCTTTTACCACCTGTTTCCCTGATAAGCCTGAATAGTTGTCTGGTGTTGCCTATCGCCGATGCTTTTTCCATCTCTTTCGCCTTTGTCAACCACCACTCTTCACGGCCCTTGCGGAGACTTTTCGTAAGTTTCCTTTTGTGCAGCTTTCGCTCCTCATTGAATTCGGAGCTCGCCGGAATAAGTCTTCTAGCATCTATCAGTTCGGATGAGGCAGTCGAAATCCAATGGTTTTTACACACCTTTGGATTTACCTTATTCACAGCTTTTACGGCTGTATCTATGGCTGACTGAATATTCTTCCAGGCTTCTTCAGGGTGAGCGCAGCTGTCGAACTCAGATATGTGTTTAGCTAGTTCTTCCTCAAATAGGGACTTAGTTCCCTGGTCGAGCTGGGGACGTGATGAGTTTACCGCCAGCTGTTTCCTACGTCCATTCAGTCGTAAGCACACACGAGCGCGGACCAGTGCGTGGTCGGTATCTACACACGTGTTCCAGAAGGAGCGACAATCTCCTACCGACCCACGCCAACCGGTTTGATGCAACTAGTTGTACAGATTCGCCTGCGAAAGTGTCATTAGACTTAGTTGCAACACGTATACTTGAAAGCAGAAATCACTGGTATTACTACTGTGATCAGGAACTATACCTGAATAGACGATTTCGTCTTGTATATCAATGAGTTACGTGTGCTCACTAAATCCCCTACGCAGATGACTTAAAAATCTGAAGGGTGGTAATGACAAGCCCATATTACAAGGAGTCCTCAACAAATTGTCAGTGGTCCAAAGAATGGATGTTCCTGACCACTGTAGCAAAATGTGAAACCGTACAAATTGGACGAGCAAGCATCGGCCCCTACGAGCTGGAGGGAATAAAACTCCCATTAATTCAAACTCATTTGTATTTAGGTATCATAGTAAGTCACGACTTAAAAACTACAGCACACTGTCGCACGGTGGCTGCACGCAGTTTCAGGTCTTCATGGGCGATTCGCAGAGTCCTTCATAGAATCACCAGATATATCCACCTCTTTATATACATCCCTTGTGGAGGCAAGACTGGAAAACTGTATTCAGGCATCCAGTCCTTGTCATAAAATGGATTCACGTATTCTAGAAAGGGTTCAAAGCAAAGCAACACGTATGATTCTTGGCATCACTAATTCATCATTCGACGAAAGACCTGACAGTTTGAACCTCTTCTCCCTGTTACACCGTAACCAAAGATCTAATTACAAAGTTGAAAATTTCAAATAATGACAACGGACATGACTTATTCTCTCATTTCCTTCCCACCAGACCGAAAGACCTGAGGACGTAGCAGGAGTTCAGAAGCCAACGAGGAACTATACTGCCGCGGAGAACCGGTTTTCACACCATTATAAATTACTGGAACCGACTCCCGGGAGAAGTGGTGTGAGAATCCTCAATTCATCTATTCAAGATGGGTTTGGACAAGGACAGAAATTTATTAGACAAGGGCTACCATAGGCTTCAAACCTATCCTCAGTCAATAAATATGAGACCTGAACTACAGTCATGAAACAAATAACTGATTTCCCTCCGTATGCAACAAGACTTTGAATACACTAAAATGAAGACTCAATTTATCGCTCGTAATCATACCAAGGTACTCACACAATTTTCTAACTTCGTTTATATAATTCCATTATTTTCTATCGCTTAATCAAGCGAAAGTTGTGTGAGTAGTGCCTTGATATGATTATGAGCAGGAATAAATTGTGCTTGAAACGTCATCAGTAAATATTACTGTATAACATTGTAAGACTATCAAAATAAATTTTACCCATAATGGGATTATACTCTACCTCAGTCCACAAGTCTTACTCATATCAATAAACTGAAGGCTGTTGACGAGAATAAAGATAAGCTTCAGAGCATCAAAGTTACGTGAAACATCTGTCAGCTCTACACAATTGTGACAGAACTGGGCATTCCGAAATAATAAATATTTGTAGCTCAGGTAGATGATTTTGACTTGGTGTCTTAAATGGACAATACTCGACTAGAAATAATTCATCTTTCGCAGGGTAACAGTGCCAATACAAAGAACGGATGTGAGACATTAAACAATTCTACAGAATTTTATCCGAATAGATTCCTATTTGTCGACTTCGTTCGCTCTACACAGGAATAACTCGCCTAGAATACGAGAGACCAAAGTGGATTAATCTAGATAGGGACTCTTTGTCATTGCACTCCTTAAACCACATAGAACAATTTACTCATGCTTTCAGTAAGAACGATTCTATGATCATATGTAAGATGGTACAGAGTGCTTCAAGAATCATGATAAAATTAATGAAAAAAATGGATAAACCTACTCGGTATTTTAGGTCAGAGTAAAACAGGGCGACTGGCTCTCCGGGCTTTAGATTGGCTCCATTCAGGTGACCAAAGCATACAATATCTCCATGCTTGAGCGTCACTCCACCCATTACTCTTGTGTAATTAACGTATGTACCATTCATGCTGTGATCATAAAGTATCGAACCACCTTTGGCTGAACGTTCTATAGTTGCATGATTCCGAGATATCATTCGGCTATTTATGCAGCTTTCTATTGCATAGTCAGGGGGTATTTTGGTGTTAATCCGTCCAATTCGAATTTCCTTTTGTCCAGGCTTCAGTTCTATTTTCTTTGGACGATACTGGTCACTCGATGAACTGACACATCCAGCCTGCTCACGTTTGTCTTGATCTAAGTCACCGATCCACCGTAACGTAACAGTACTCATTGTGTGATGCACATGTGAAAACCAAATAGTCAACCTGTTTTGTGAAACTTAATTGTGAACATTCACTTAAAATGTCTGCGAATGGGACTTTGAGAGGCTGTTTTTAACAAGGTTCAATGTAAAATAAGTAAAAGTGGTGAGTTCTTAATGAGATTTTGAGTTTTTACCAAGAAAAATAATAAAATTGACAAAAAACATAGTTTCAGAAAGTCAGGCTAGCAAATATCTGTGTTGCTAGAGAGGCTGAAACTGGGAAACGACCTGAAGGTACTTTATAACAACGTACGCAGTATCAGTAATAAATTCCATAAGTTAGGTATGTCAACAGATAAATAAAATCCAGAAATCGTGGTTATCAGTGAAACACGAATTGACTTTAATTTGGATAAGACTCCTGCATTGTCAGAATTTAGACGTCTATGTAGCCACATGGTTGACGTTGATGAGGACAGTGGAGTAGAGTAGGTGGCACAAAGAATCTACTCACTCTCTTTTGGTCATTGAAGACCATTGGGTGTTACCATACACCACTCAGACTTGTGGTTTGGTCCAATTTCAATCTTAGTCTCATCGAAACTTTAGCAATCAAGTATTGCATTATTAACTTGTAGACAATCTACTATTCGACATTATATCATACTTGATCCTGCCTGTAAAAATGGCATGCGTTTTCATGTAAATTTATGTTTATATGAAAATATACATTATTATTACTAAGTTGAGTGCTTCTACTAATGACCATCTAGTCACCACTGACACTTTACTTTTCTGTCCATTCACAATGCAAAGAGTAGCTCCTCTTTCAGCAAACCGCTGATTGGAATTATACATCATGTTCTCATTCAGCATGTTGAGAATAATAACTGAGGAATAGCATGGTTTTATCACAAGTCATTCCCACCTATCTTAGCAAGAGAAAGGCAAATACAGCCAGTAAAAATTGAAATGGTGGAATTTAGCATGGTCCCAGATAAGCTCTGCTAACCAGCATATCTCTAAAAGTTAGGCAGCTTTCTGATCACTACTTACTTGCTTACTCACTCGCTATTCTCAACAATCTTTAATGAGTAAAAAGAGAACCTCGTAAGTTTAAAAATTGTGTTATTGCATATGAAATTTGCATGTGAAGCCACCATCTCACTTCAGCTTGAGTAGACTTCTGAGGGAAGCAAGGAGAACAACTGAAAGTAACCCATTACGCAATTTTGTATTTACCATTATTATTCCCTTGCTTTCCGAGTGGAACACAGGGATTCAGTGGCACATCTCCACTTTGTCCCGTCCTCTGTTGTCCTCTTGAGCTGCCTTCGTGACCGCTCATAAACTCATCTCTTCTCCACGTGATCTCCTCCATGCCATTATTGGATGCCCAACTCATCACTTTCCATTCTCGCTCCGCTCAGTCGACGGCCTAGAATGTGGAGTCACCCGAAGTCCATCTCAGCATTCACCTCTATTTCGTTTGGCATTTTCTTTCGACAGTAGGTTCTAGGTTGGATCCTTGCCTGAATACGTCCTTGTTCATGCTGTCTGTTCTAACACCTAACCCTCAATACGGGGCGAAGGTATCTGCTGATAAACGTCTGCAGTCTGTAGGGAATGCTTTCTGTGACCTGCCAAGCCTGCGAATCACAAAAGAACTGATTTAACACTGTTATTGGAAACCTAGATTTCATTCCTTATGCTGAATGCACCAGATTCCCAAACTGATTTTAGAGTGACAAAGAGACGCCTTGCTTTTTCCATTCTAGTTTCGAAGTCCCCATCCACGTAAGTGAAGTGGTGTTGCTTAAATAATTGTGGGAAGTGACCTGTTTCGAATTTCTCCCGCCGATACTGACTGTCAGTCATTGTTGGTAGGTTGGTTATTTTCATTACCTCCGTCTTCTCTAAGTCCCCTTAAGGTTCTGTCATCTCTGTTTCTTCTGCCGACTTAGTGATTTTCGTCTTGTAGATTGAGTTTGTGTGACATAAAACGCAAATTATCCGTGAAGTTCACATCTTCTAGAGTCATCTCATCGGTTTAGCGTATTCCTATCTTCTCATTCCCCACACTCTTCCACATAATCCTGGTTGACTAACTTTTCACAGGTGTGCAGCAGTTCGAGTTGTCAAATTCCTTCCATGCACCACACAGCAACATAACAGAGTAAACAAGAAAGTGAAGACAGATTCAAAAAAAGAGATAAAAACAGAAGTGTGAGGGAAAAAGAATGGTATTAAGGAAGAAAAACGGAGTTTTGCTGGGTGTGACGAATCACTAAGAGTGCCTCTGCGCCAGACATTGGAAATGGTTTTCAGCTTTTCCTGTAAACTTACCCGTTTATACGAAATATAAATAATTATTATATCATCAATTGTCCCCAGCCTTCTCTGGTTCTTACCCCAATGAGGACCTTAACCATTCAAGCGCTAGGCACCTCTACTCATGACTCGCTGGCTGAAGCTAATTGTTATGGATTTCATTGACGTCATAGCTTGGCGGATGAAGCTATGTTTCCGTTTGACCTCTACTAGCTCTTTTGGTCCTATTTCAGCTAACATTGATATTCAAGGAAGGATGGTGGTTAGGCATGCATGCGTAACACGTGTCCTAACCATCCCAATAGACGTAACTTTACAGCCTCATCGATAGATTTTCCCTCCTGACCTAACACTAAACGCTTAACCTCTATACTTCCTATTACATGATACCACCTAACACAAAAGGTATAACTCAAATACCTATGATCAGAAACAGTTGAGAATACTCAGTCGAATAAAGAGAAGGGCACTAATCATTCAGTAGATGAATAAAGCCTTAAAAATCATAAAGAGGCCATAGCTCCTACTTGGTTGCTCGTTCTACCATTCTGAGTGACCTTCCCTCTAGAAACGACTTCCCTAAGATTGTCGGTTCGTTTGGCCTATCTTACGTAGGTTTATCTTGGGCTTCCCATCGAGTACAAGTTAGGGTTGTTCACCTGATGTTTCACGAAGAAAGGTAACGATGCTATTTGTCGCCTAAGGAAACTGCTCACCTTTCTTATTTAAATTGCCATACCAGACTGTCGTGGGTTGTTTCCTAGCTTGAGCATTTTCATCTGCCACCAAATAGTTAATATCCTCAAACTGACTTTTCTCCAAAAGATACATTTATCAAAAACCGGTTTGCATGACTTGTCAGCATGAGCCCATAACTTTTTGAAACTCACTCATATGCATTTGCTTTAAAGTCTGGCCAGATAACAATCCATTTGAATAGTGAAAAGATAAACCAGGGTTAATAACATGAATGATGAATTTGGCAGTATTTACTTCTAGCCATTGGAACTGGTGCTTTACACCATGACAGTCTTGATGTTATGACTACGTTATGTTTCACAGATCCCTTGCTCGCTGATATCATGGTGACCCGCGCGCTTCGTGTAGGACGTTACAATCTCACCATATAACGTGGAAATAATTTTTCGCATTCTGGAATATCGTGGTCTATATTTGACTACTACATAATTATAGCTGATATTGCTTGTCCCTCCGGTAGCTAAATATCCAAATTTATCACCTCCAGAATACTGTTTGGATCCAGTGAGATTCGTGTTAATAAAGAGCAATCTGTCACAAAAGAACTATAGAGAAGTCCTCATTTTTGTGGTTTATAATTATCAGAGTTAACTCGTTTGATAGTGATCTATTTTTGTTTGTACTTCATACCTGTTTATTGTTGTTTTTATCTATTTAGATAATATAACAGTATTTCACACGCTTTTGTCAATTTTTGAGAAAATTTTATAATCTTTACCTGCATAATGGTCAAAGTTATTAAACGAGTTAGTACTGTTAAGAGACTAGCATCAAATAGTCAGCTGGACACTAAAAACATCAGTCCTGACAATGGATTTGCACTAAGATCAATCGATACACCGAGAGTTTTAGTACCAAACTTAACGGAAGAACTAATTGATAACGTAGCGAGTAATACTAGTGATCTAAAGATCCTTCAGAAATCCATAACAGACCTGCAGGATAAGTTTGAAAGTATTACTCCTTTCCTCCAACTTTGTGATCCATCACAAGAGATTTCCTTAGATTCACTCCTCAAATCTGAGCACCTGCTAGACTTTTTGACTGCAGAGGCTGTAAAGAGGGTCATGTCCTCATACAATGTTTTAGGATATAATATACCAGACAATGTACCTATTGTCAAACTTAAAGCAATCTGTCTACAGGCATGCAACATTTCAGTATCTGACTGCCAGGTTCTGCGTCTTCGTAAGAAATCCGCAAAGCACCCATGTCCTGTACTGTTCAAATTTAAGTCTGTTGATCTAGCTAAGAAATTTTTGGAGTCTGGCAAAACTCTTAGCTCCTCAACACCCTACACCAAAATCAGGATTGTACCTGATTTAACTTCTTGCCAAAGACGTTGCCGTGCAGGTAAACTGAATGAAGACAACCCCAATAAGGCAACCGAAGTTAATACTTCCCTCGGTGTATTGCCTTATGACCAAGAGCACCAGACAATATCGCATACACAAACTAAGAGTAGTCAAGCAACTGTTGAAGACTTAGCTCTAAATACGGAAATTTCATACATAGAAATGTTAACAGATCACAGTATTGACGTGCAACCCTTGCACACTGGCACTTATGCCAAACCCTCGAAAAAGTCTAAGCTGAATTCAGTTGTACACTTTGAATCTCTCGGGAAGTCATATACCGCACAACCTCTTAGCCCGGCAACTGTGAAGCAGCAATCACATGTGGCCACCCAGGTAGGCGTAAATACAAGGCGATATGATAAGCGTCCTATTTCTGTTAGGAACACCAAAAGAACTGTTGATACTATTCAACAGAAATCCAGTTTATTGGGAAATCCTAATGATCACCAGCAG